AGTCTACATAGAGGTGTTCACACACTCCTAAGCTCTCATGTAATCTTGGTCCTGAAGCTGAGATAGATTTAACTATCTCTAATATGAGGGGGCTTCAGGAAGTTTGTGGAAAATTCACATTTTCTTTTCAGTTCATTTTCCTTTTTTGAAGCATCCCATATAAGCCATTGGGTATCTAAGGGATAAAAAGGTTTCCCCAAAGGAGTTAGAGCCAATGCCTGGTAATATCTATTGACAGAATTACTGAAACATATTACGTGCACTGAAATGGTACTTTTGGAGTGCTAATATCTTTAGGTGAGTACAGACTATTAGGTTTATATTCCAGAGGTGGTAAGCGCTAGACATCTATCTATACTCCTCCTTCCCTTTCCCACTACATCCTCTGGCTTACTCTTTCCTGCTAGGCCTGAACCCAGCCTCAGAATCTTCCTTAACCTAACTGTTCCAGAGTGCTTCATCAACTGACTGCAATATTAACACAACAGATAATGTGTGTTCCTTTAGGTCTCATGTTGTATGACCCTTGTTTCTGACATTTTTGTTTGGTTTTTGATTTGATATTTGTTATTAAAGGCTCACATTGTTTCATATTGGTATATATGGGCGTCTCCAAACACAAGGTTTTTGCCTTCCACTTATTTCATAGCATCAACTGCAGTGATTCATGTATGGTAGGCACTCTCCGTACTCCAAACACACAGGAGACAAATGAGCTGCATTCAGGGAAATGTCTTCAGCTAAAAATAAGAGCACGGGGCTGGTGTTGTGACACAGTGAGTCAAGGAGACGCCAGCATCCCATATGGGCACCAGTTCAAGTCCCATCTGCTCCACTTCCAGTCCAGCTTCCTGCTGATGGCCTGGGAAAAGCAGCAGAAGATGGTCCAAGTGCCTGGGCCCCTGCACCTACCTGGGAGACCCAGAAGAAGCTCCTGGCTCCTGACTTTGGCCTGGCCAAAGTTCACTTGGGAGTGAATCAGCAGATAGATGACCTCTCTCTGTCTCTCCCTGTCTCTATAGCCATGCCTTTCAAATAAATACATCTTTTTAAAACAATAAATAAATAAAAACAAATAAGAAAACTGTCCCTATTTTTTAATACGGTTTAGACTGGAGTCAGTATACTACTTTTGTAAAGAGTCAGTTGTCTGCAGGTCAGAAGGTTTGTGATACAACCTCTCAAGTTGGCTTTACTGCATGAAAGGACCTACAACAACACATGAGAGGGACAGTCTGTGTTCCAATTCAACCACTGAACTGGAAACTAAAATTGGATTTTCATATAGTTTTCAAGTGTCACAAAATATTATTCCTTTTTGGATTTTTTACTGCAACAATTAAAAAAAAGAAAAACCATTCTTAGCTTTTGAACACAGAAAAACATGGAGCAGGCCTAGATGTGGGGTTCTCAAAATGCAAATTTGTGGTGGTCTTCTAAGACCCTTTCAGCAAAGTCATTTACCAATGTCTACCTCAATCAAAACAATGTATCATAACAGATCGAATGTGAAAGCAAATGTAAGCATCTATTTGCCTTTTATGAAGCTAGATACTGAAGAGATGTGCAAAACTGTAAAATACTACTCTTCTCAATGTTTGTAAAAATATGTTAATTTCATACCAAATGCTGTTTATAATAACATGTTATGAGCCCACAACTTTTAAAAGAGAGTTTAAAAGTCCCCCCTTCTGGTTTCTGATATGATAAATGGCAATTGATACAACTCATGTGAACAAAAGATCTCTGGGAGCTCTCAGAGAATTTTAAGATTTTAATGGGAGGGTCCAGCCAGCGCTGTGGTGTAGAGGGCTAGGCCTCTACCTGCAGCACTGGCATCCCATATGGATGTGCTTCATGTCCCAGCTGCTCCACTTCCAATTCAGCTCTCTGCTATGGCCTGGGAAAGTAGAAGATGACCCAAGTCCGTGGGCCCCTGCACCCACGTGGGAGACCTGGAAGAAGCTCCTGGGTCCTCGCTTCAGATTGGCTCAGCTCTGGTTGTTGCGGCCATTTGGGGAGCGAACCAGAGGAAGACCTCTCTGTCTCTCCCTCTCACTTTCTGTAACTCTACCTCTCAAATAAATAAATAAATCTTAAAAAAAAAAATGTAATGGGAGCCGGACATTAAAAAGCCTGAGAACAAGCTGCTGGGCTCCCACGGCTCCCACGGCTCCCACAGGGGTGAATTGACTACTGCCATTAGAATGCATTAGGCCTGCCCTCCAGACAGAACCAGCTGATCTCCATTTTGACTTCTTCCCACCTAAGAGCTGGCTGACACTTTTTTGATCTGATGCTCACTGGGTAAAATTTAATCTCATGTGTTTGCACATTAAATATAGTGGTTATTTTCATGAAAGAGCTTTCAGATACATGCAGACCATAAAAACACTTCAGCCTTTACTTTGCCAAAATGGCAACCAGAAATATGTGTGTTGCCCTGTCTTCCATTTTCCAATCTTTTAAGGCAAAAAACTAATATTGTAATTTATCAAAACAGAATCATTATCTAAGTTAACATCAGAGTGCACCTTTGACCTGGCGCCGCAAATACTGTGGGGGACAATCCTGATCAGAACTCTCATGGCAGAGTGACACCTATAGTAAAATCTTCTAGCCATGATGTGAGCTTAACTGACAGTGCTAATATTGCACTAGGAATTACATTTTGCAAGGAAGATAGACACAACTTATACAGTAATTTAAACGAGTATTAATACTTTACTTGTTCTGTCATTTGAGATTTAGTAACTTTCGAAAAGACTATTTTAGGGGAAATATAAAGGAAAGTTGTTTAAATTCCAGTGTTACAATGCATGGGGAAATCATATAAGGAAGCATTCCTTTCAACACAAATTTACTTTGTCATAAGGTTTAACCATCAATACAAATGATGCATACTGCTGGCCTTGGGAAATCTAAAAAAGAGTAAAGATGATTTCGACATTTAACATTTTGTTTAGTTCTATGTTATTAGAAAATGGTTTTCTCATGAGTGTATGACTCTAAAACTCTTTATAATTTCTCTTCTGGAATATTAACTTTGTAAACAATAACACAGGAAGAAACAATTTATATGTTGCGCTAGCTATCCTAGCCATCCTTCAATGTGTATTATAAAACGTCTTATTGGATGCTATGACTGCCATAATGTGTGAACACTAGCTCTAAGTTGTAAAACAAAATACGTTTGGCTATTTTGACCAATACTAACACTGCAATACACTAGCATCATGAAGACACTAGTGATTTTGAGAAAGGTACTAGCAAATTATTATCTGTTTAGGGGATTAGTACCCATGTGGGGAACAGTGCAAATTCCAACAGAGAGATTTTAGTGGACACTGTGTTCAATGAAGAACAAAAAATAGATCTGGGGCAGGCACTGTGGAATAAGTGGGTAAAGCCGTCACCTGCAGTGCTGGCATCCCTGTGGGCACCAGTTCGAGTCCCAGCTGCTCCACTTCTGATCCAGCTCTCTGCTATGGCCTGGGAAAGAGTGGAGTATGGCCTTGGGCCCCTGTACCCATATGGGAGACACAAAAGAGGCTCCTGGCTTCAAATCAGGGCATCACCAGCCGATATGGCCACCTGGGGAGTGAACCAGAGGATGGAAGACCTCTTTCTCCCACTCCGTCTCTGCCTCTCTGTAACTTTGCCTTTCAAATAAATAAATAAATCTTCAAAAATAATCTAAAATACGAGGGAAATGCTTACTGCTTAAATCTACAGTAAAAACAAAATACTCATCATGATTGCAAAACATCACAAATTGTGAAACTTAAGTTATTTGTGAAGTAGACAAAAACATAGCTTCCTCAGCCATTTTTTGAGATCTCAGCATCAGTTTAAAGAAAATGCTTATATTTAAAATATAGCACATTTCAAAATCTGACTTCCTACACTGAGTACATTAAAGCATACGAAATGAACATATGCCTTATATCATACAACACTCTCACTCCATGTGTATGCAATGCAGGTGACAGGAGACTAAAGTGAAAAAAACAAACAAACAAAGACAGAATGCTATTTGTTACTTCATTCAATTTGTTAAGGAATCATCCTCAATCCTAGAAGAAGAAATAACTATGGAAATCAATAGATGCTCACGTGAACAATCAGTTCACGTGAAGATGCATGGGGTTCACATGTGGAAATGGAAGAATGAAGAGCACACATACCGCCCTATGCAGAGGAGACGTTATTTCTAGCAATGTGGTCGGCACACTTTTCCTTGTGTAATATATTATTTTCTCCACTTTCATCTTGAAATTCTTAAAATCAGAAGTCTATTCATTAAAAAACCTAAGTAAAATAGTTTACTTAGGAAGCAACAAATTTTTAAAAATCACATGGAATTTATATTACTACAAAGATAAAAAACAGAACAAGGACGTTCTGGTTCATATGCAGGTCCTTCAAAAAGTATTTAGAAAAATTGAATTAAAAGAGAAGTTTATTTTAGCACAAAATAAAACCTTGAAATCCATGCATAGTTTTTCTTTAATAATATGTATTTTTCATGAACTTTCTTGAAATGCTCTTGAATTTGAGAATAAAGAGTTGAGAAAGTGTCACAAATATTACTCCAAAGAGACAAAAACTACAATCAAAGTATCATTATTTTAAAGTTTGGCACAGCAGCTGAAAATCTGAAAAATACCACTGCTATTTTAATAAAATAGTTTTCAGTTTTGATTTGTTTTCCCAATCCTCCCCCCCCCCCCCCCCGCAGCAGGAAAATACATGTATTTTCTCTAGCTGCTGGGGTTTTATTAGCACTTTGTGGAAACTGTTGGCTTTCAGAAATGGACAGGCAGATTTGAACCCAAAGTCAGACAAAATACAGAACTGCCACAACAATAAGAAGCAACTTAGAAAGAGGATCAAGCCAAGCAGATAAACAAACTTTATAGACCCAGTTTTTGGGACTGTTCATCAAGTCAGTTCCCTAATTTCAAAAAGCCAAAGCAAAGCAAAGCATGGTGACTTACATTGCTTCTTTAGTTCCTTTAGTTGTTGTTTAAACTGTACAAACTTTTCATTATTTTGGAAGTCTGCATCAGAATTCTTATTCTGTAAGGCCAAAAATTTCTTCTCTACCAATAATTTTAAATCTGGTATTTTTCCTGGCCGTTCTTCTTTCACCTAAGGAACACAAATCTTAGTTTAATGTTAATGATAGTGTTAAGGGGGTTTTGTTGGCCTCACAAAATTCAAATTAAAAAGGTAAGACAGAAAACAGAACCTCCCACTAAGGAACCAGAGAGACCGAGACTCATTCCAGGGCAGACTGCTACAGACGGTGGAAGCACTCATCCCTCTCACCCGCTCATTCTCCTCTGTTTCTGAAGCTCTCAGTCCAACAATGCTCCTGCTAACTTGCTGTCTCCCACTAACCACCAGAGAAAACCACAGGATAGGCAAGGCCACCAGACCCAGAGCATCGCCCTGTCTCCCTTCACCCCACTCTGCTCAGCCTCTTCTCCCACTCTCCACCAAGGCTCCTCATCCTCTAGCCCCTTCTTCTGGGCCTCACCCCCAGCAGATGAGAGAGATTCTTCTGTTACAAAAGAAGTTCTAGGCTTCCAACTTGATCTTCCATAATTTCCTGCTACAAGGAATAAGTACCTCCTTTGTTTTGTTCAAGGCTGAACTCTCAATCCACGTTTTTTGTCCTTCCCAGTACCAGAAAATTATTTTTCAATTCATAAAATTGTCAAGGATGCATAAAAGTTGAAGGAATTGGACTATGAACAACCATTCCTCTACTTCCTAGATGTCAGAGTTAACACTTTGCTATGTTTGTATTATCTCCTCTCTCTGAATCTATCTATCTGTTCTTTAATTCTTAATTACATCTTCTTCATCTCCTTTAGAACAAACTCTCCCTCTCTATAGGCTCGTTCCCAGGAAATCTTTATTTTGGCTTTTCACTCCCAAGTGTAAACACAACCAACCTCTTACAACCCCTGTTTCCTCTCCCTAGTTATAGTCCAGCCCCTTGAGAAGAAAAGGAGCTGCTGTTTCCGCTTCCTCCTCAAGCCTTTGCCACTGCAGGGGAGCTGCTGCCTCCCCATAAGCTGCACTTCACGGCTCTCCTTCAGGCCTTCATAACTGGCCCTCTTATCTCTGACCCTTTCACAATGGTTTGACAAAAAGAAAAACTCATGTGTCTTAGACTTCTACCACAGCCCTAGTAATAATCAGTGGGTTCTCATTCTGCTGCCCTAAAAAATGTAAATTCTTTGAAAGATGCCATGGGGCCTGCGCTGTGGTATAGCAGGGTAAGCAGCCGCCGCCTGCAGTGCTGGCATCCCATATGGGCGCCAGTTCGAGTCTCGGCTGCTCCACCTCTGATCCAGCTCGCTGCTATGGCCTAGGAAAGCAGTAGAAGATAACCCAAGTCCTTGGGCCCCTGCACCCACGTGGGAGACCTGGAAGAAGCTCCTGGCTCCTGATCGGCACAGTTCCAGCCCTTGAGGCCAATTGGGGAGTGAACAGCGGATGGAAGACCTCTCCCCCCCCCTCTCTCTCTCTCTTTCTGTGTAACTCTGACTTTCAAATAAATAAATAAATCTTAAAAAAAAAAAACTTTAAAAAAATTTAAAAAAGAAACATGCCTGATTCATCACCATATTGCTGTTTCTGGCACTTACATGTTTCAAACAAATTAGTTGCTTCAAATATACTTAACTCACCAACAGTCACAATTTATTGCCTCTATGATTAACAGAGTACATACTACATCTGGGCTAGAAAACAATTTAGAAATTATCTTAATGTCTTTCTTCCTCAATTTCACAAATAAAATGATACACAGAGAGGTTAACTGACTTATTTGCTACCATCTGATTAGTCAGAAACAATGCTAAGGCTGCAAGGTTGACAAAGAAAATTCTTGGTTTAAGTTCTGGTCAGTAGGAATTATTTCTAAATATCTTCGAATCTGACTATCAATTCATATGAAGTCAACAGATAATCTCCTATTTATCTGTCCTGATTGTGTCACAGAGAAAAAATATTTCTCACTTAGCTGCCATGCATTTTGATTACTAAATTGAAATAAGAATTAAGCACACAAATGAAATGCCTTAAATTCATATTTACACTCATACACTTATACGCAGTGTAGAAACAGACCATCTTCTCTTTGTACTAAGGATCTCCACCAGTGCTAGATTCTCCATCAAAGAGAGTTATTAAAACAGAAAGGTTTTAATGACAAGTCTTACATATAATTAAAAATGTTAAATCCTATAAGGTTAAAAACCAGTACAGCTTGATTTGGAAAAGAAAGGTAGAAAGACAACTTAATAATGTCTTATATGTCTCAAGAATAAAAGCTATTATAACTGGTGACTAACTATCCTATACCTCTACTTGAGAGAGTAAGACAAGACAAGCTCAAAACAGAAGCAAGGAGAGTTCAGACGAGATCTAGAAAAAAATTACTGGTTCTTACAAAAGATTATAGGTTCTCTTCCTGGATTTTTAAAATAAGATAGATTTGCATCCACTTGCGAAAAGTCAAGGGCAACCTTAGAGGAAGGCATTCAGAGGAGGCTTCTTAAGATCTTTGATCAGTCTGCAATTATGTAATCTGGGATGTTCAGAAAAGATCTGTTTGGAGCATATGTAAATAAAATTCAATGTTTTGAACAATCTCTAGACAACTGTACTGTATTCCCCAGTTAAATTACAATCACAGCTCAGGAGCTAGTGGAGGACTGAGTAGCAGGTGGGAACGGTGAGGACAGAGGGAATGAGCACTCTGAGCTGACAACATGATAACCTGCTAGGATGAAGAAAGCCTGGAGAAACTAATGGAGTGCTTCAGTGTACTCGTTTCCCATAGCCAGAACTTTGAGAAAACTTCTGTAAAGCACAGAAATTCATTACAGCAAGTATCTTCCCTGGAAGTCTGATGCTGCAGTTGGCAGAGTTATCCGCTACAAAGAGAACTTACTGTATTCCAGCTATCAGAACAAGAGCACAGAACATGTTCAACTCATTATCTGTTTAAATCAATGCAATCAATAAGGATTAATTTTTTATGATTTCTTGTTTTTAATGGATAGGGATAAAGGCAGAGGGGAAACTACTCTTTTAATTAGCCAATCATGCATGTTATCTAGTGAAAAAAATAAGAATGGCTCCTATTTCTGAGAACAAATTTAAAATACCTCAAAGACATTTGAGATGGACAGACAGGACCAATTAGATCCTTAGTTCCATTCATTTCCCAAGGATAAAGTCCCTGTGACATAAGACTTAAAACCCTTGTAAATCCAAAGACACTAAGTATATGAGTTTACAAGGGCTGCCATAACAAAACACCAGAGATCAAATGGCTTAAACAGAAAGTTGTTTTCTCACAGATCCGGAAACAAGAAGGTTGTCAAAGCCTGGGCAGAGTTGGCTCCTTCTGAGGCCTTTCTCCTTGGCTTGTTCATGGTGTTTTTCTCTCCATCTTTCCTTTGCTCTAGCTTAGCTCAAAGTCACTCAGGAATAATTAGCTACATGTAAATGGAACCCAATACTCCTACAACTGCAGCATTTTTCTGTGTCAGCAAGGGGAAGGCAAGGCAAGCCTTGAACTGCCAGCTAACAGCCCAGTTGGGTCTCTCTGAGTCTGCCTCTCTGAACAGAGGTTATTTCAGGAAGAAGGACAATGGTAGAGACAAAAGGTGATCGCTTCTCGGCCTTTTGGCTAAGATCAAGTGTGGAGACAAAAAGTGGAACTAGTCCATACCCAAATTGATGCTACATATTACTTTCACCATGCTTTACCATTAATATTAAATATATTTACTTGATAACACACATTTCTTTCAATTAATATTATATACATATGTGATTGCTCAAACTGTGTCATTTCATTGCCAAAGGGCAAAGTCCAGGTCTCCTCCTCCTCCAATTATCATTACTGCCTTATGGCCTTCATTTCATTGGAAGAGAAGATCACAGGAGCCAGAGGTATTAATGGGCTGAGTCATTCACACACTTTTTGAATCATGTGAGAATTTAGTATAAAATTAGGCATTCCTGTAACTGCATCAAGATTCAGATGGATTTACTTGCTCCAAAATAGCCAATGTTAGATGCTTGGTTCTTAAAATAACATATACTCAATAATTTACATTTTGGAGACACCCATTAGAAGTTTATTGTAGGCACTTGCTGGTGATACGCAATTTGCTCCGCACACCACTTAGCACATTCTTATTCATAACTTGATCTAAGGTATGGGAGATGATTTGAAGATGGAATCCAGAGGGAACTGCCTCAATTGGTGCTACAATATTAATTCAATAAATATTTACTGTCTCCCAATTGTGTGCCAGGTATTATATTGGGCACTGGGACGTTTATGGAAGCTGGCCCACACTTATGACATATTACCAACCCAACTGGTAATGTACCCTGTGGCCAATTTATATAGGCTAATGCTGGCTCTACCTTTGCATGTCTGTACAGCAAAAAAGCTTGGTAAAGTTTTTATTAAAAGGCATGTCCAGGCTGAAAACCATTATGCTTTCACGGAGTATAACCTAATTGTATGTATGTATATATGTATGTGTGTGTGTGTGTGTGTGTGTATAAAAGAAAACACACTATATTTTCTAAAGGGTTTACCATATGGATTTTCCTCTGAAAGAAAAATTCAGCGCAAGCACTTTGCATAGTGATTAAGATGCCACTTGGGGGACCGGCACCGTAGCACAGTGGGTTAATCCTCTGCCTGCGGCACCGGCATCCTATATGGGCGCCAGTTCAAGCCCTGGTTGCTCCTCTTCCAGTCCAGCTCTCTGCTGGGGCCTGGGAAATCGGTGGAGGCTGGCCCAGGTGTTTGGGCCCCTACACCCATCTGGGAGACCAGGAGGAAGCACCTGGCTCTGTCTGTTGCAGCCATTTGGGGAGTAAATCAACGGAGGGAGGACCTTTCTCTCAGTCTCTCCCACTCACTGTCTGTAATTCTACCTGTCAAGTAAAAAATAAAATCTTAAAAAAAAAAAAAAAAGATGCCACTTGGGACACCCTCAATCCCATATGGGAATGCCTAGGTTCAAGTCCTAGATCGGTTTCCAATCCCATGTTGCAGCTGATGTGCACCCTAGGAAGCAGCAGGTGATGGCTCAAGTACT